TGCCCACTGGTGTACGCTTACTTCAAGGCTTTAATAAGAGATCTCTTATTAGAGAGATCTTGTGTCACCTGGAAACATTTTATCTTTTTCACTGACTTTCTAAAATGTCTTTTTACCTACTTTCCTCGTTCTTAGAATTTTTCATGGTTAGAGTTTTTTTTTTTTAATTAATTTTTATTTTTCCTGTCTTGTGAACATAAGTATACACATTGCAGGACGAATCTTTGGTATTTCTGTCTTACACCAGACCCCTGTGAACCGTGTAGGATTGTGTAACTTCCTTTCCTTAGGTTTCCTAGATGCTTATGAAATTTATACTCTAATTTTAGAGTAGGCAATTTGTTTTACCCATCTTGACTTTCAAGTTTGGATTCTGTGTAAGGTATATGTAGATACAGATGCTACATATATATGTAGATATGTGGACACACACCTGTATACGTACAGTAAAAGATACACATTTATTGATGCACGTTGCATTCTTACATGACAGATATCAGGTTAATATCCCATTTTCAGGTGCAGGAATTAAGAGACAAAGCTTAAATCCAGATTCCAGCTCTGAGTGCATAATGCCTGACACACAGAGGTGCGTTTGGAATCTGGAAGAGCAGTGTGCTTTTTAGCTGCTCGAGCAGGGGAGTGTTGAGTGCTCTGCACTGCCTTTTGAAACTGTAATGAATTGGAAAATGTTCCTTTAAGTTACTAGCCCAGAGCTAGGCACAGAGGCAGAGCTTGAATCAGGTACAGACGAAGGCACCGATCGAATGTCTGCAGTACTTAATCTCTGCAAATGTTAATAAAAGTATTAAGCAGGCAACATGTTTCCTCTTGTTTTGTTATGGTTGAATTTCATATGCAGACGGCATGCCACAAACCTCATTTTCCCTTGCCGTCCCTTCACACCAGCAGCAGCTTTCCCGAGCCCCAGGCACCACAAGCTCTGACTCATTTACTTAATATTCCTCTAATGAAACTGCCCAGAGCTCTGGACCTATTCTCCTCCAAAACAATCTTTCTCCTCCCTATTTTTCCACACCCTGTGCTTTCTTCTCAGCTCCTGTCACATTCCACATCAGTCTCTTGCTGAGCCTCCTGGAGCAGACCTTAGACCTTCCCTTGCTCCCATCCCCTTCCTGCCCGGCTCCTCTGAGCCCTGCCAGCCCGGCTGCGGGGATCAGCTGCTCCAATATCTACAGGCTGCTGTTGTGCAGTGAGAGGGCATGGATGAACCAAGTGGCTTATGGTGGAGCTGGGAGGGTGAGGGGCAAGCAGGGGTTTCTTCAGATGCAGTGCAGCGGGGCAGTGTAAAGAGAGAAGGGAAAGGTTCTATGCCCTCTTGTCTGTGGTTCCACGTGGAAAGGACAGGAAAAGCAGAAATGGCTGCAATTAGCTGGTGAAGAAATCCCTGTCTGTCTGCAGAGCTGTACGTGCTGGGATGAGCAGAGCCCCAGCATGTGGGACCATCACCTGCAATAGTCTGAGTCCAGCCATTGTAACACCTTTCCAGATGTGCAGAGGTGCACATTACAGCCTGAAATTCACAGACTGAGACACGATGAAGGTGCCTGAAAACCCAGGCTGCAGCTCAGAAGTATGGCACAGGTTCAGTTGCAATTCTGGTGTGCAGAAACGGATTCTCAGCTCCTCCCTTTCACCCCATGTCTCTCATCTCTGCTCCCTCCTTACTCTGAGACCAGTACCGAACTCTGCAAGTAGCAGAACTGCTGATGAAAACAGCACTGCTGGAGCGACTGCAAAACCCAATAGCAAAGCCATTTGGTGGGAGCAGAAGGCTGGGGGGAGGGGAGGTTTAGGGGCAATGAACAGCTCTGGAGCTGGGACACAAGCGCTGCTGGAAGGGGCCACGACCGATAGGAGCACTTGGGATTGCATGAGGGAGGTGCGGGTGTTGCAGTGCAGGGCAGGTGAGCGCTTCACGGGGGGATTTGAGACAGGGCTGTGCCTCAGAACAGGGCTGGCAGCTCGGGCAGCACCTTCTGAGAAAGGCAGGAGGGTTTTCCCTCCCTCAGCCTCCTCTTCGCCGGGCTGGCAGCTGCCGAGTCCGGTTCCTGTGCAGGGTCAGGAGGAGGCAACAGGCGAGGCCTGCGTGCTGCCAGAGCCGTGCGGGGACAACGCTCGGCGTGTCGGGGTGTACAGATGGGAGAAGCCGAGCCGTTTTGCACAGCAGGCGACTGGAGCTGTGAGTAGACAGGGCTGGCGGTGCCGGTGTCGGCCGCGCTCACAGAGCTCTGCTGGGCTCTGCACAGACAGGCCTGCTCGCCTCAAAGACAGCGATCGGATTCTCGCCCTCCGGGGGTTTCCAGCGAGCGCGCAGTTCAGAGGAACCCTTTCTTTTCTCCTGCTGTTCACACCCTGCAAAGAATTTTCTATCAACAAAAGAAATCGTTTTATAGTCAAGCGATGTTCAGCCCCGGTGCCTGGATGGGGAGGGGGTTTTGGAGGACCTGGGGAATCTGTGAGGGCTCAGAGTGAAGCCTGCGAGTGAACGCGAGATACGGCCAACAGCTCAGGGCAGGCGAGTTTGGGCTCTGCAAAACCTGAGGCTCCGCTCAGGAAATGGGAGTAACCGAACCAAATGCCAGAGCAGCCCATAAGGAGAGGGGAGGTCCAGGCAGGAGCTCTGGCAGACCAAGAAGGCTGTTGTTCCTTCAGCCTCGGTGACTGTGTGTGATGGATGCTCCACCACAGGAACCGCAGACTCATAGAACAGCTTAGGTTAGAGGGGACCTTAACGATCATCTATTTCCAACCCCCATGCTGTGGACAGGATTATCATCCACTGCATCAGGCTGCCCCATCCATTGATTATCTCCATTCCATGTGGGTCCGTGGCTCACCCACGAGCTCTCTGGGCAGCCTGTGCCAGCGCTTCACCACCCTCTGAGTAACAAATTTCTTCCTAACATCCAACCTAAATTTCCGCTCTTTTAGTTTAAAGCCATTCCCACTTGTCCTATCACTATCACACCATGAAAAAGTCAGTCCCTCTCCTGCTTGTAAGCTCCCTTCAAATACTGTAAGATTGCAATGACGTCTCCCTAGAGCCTTCTTTTCTCTAAGCTAAACAAGCCCAGCTCCCTCAGCTTATCTCCATACGAGAGCTGCTGCAGCCCTCCGAGCATCTTTGTGGCCTCCTCTGGACTCACTCCAACAGCTCCACATCCTTCCTGTATTGGGAGCCATAGGCTTGGACACAGTACCCCAAATGGGGCCATCCTTGAAGATCCATGATATTTTCAGGTTCAGTGGGATGATGTCAAACCCAGAAGGATTTTGTTTGCGTGCTATCAGTCATTCCTCCAGGGAAGGCCTGTCTGGTCGAACCCTGTTTGATGGCAGATATCCCAAATCTCCTTCTCTGTGCAAGGGTCAGAAGTGTGCCATGGGAGCCTGGGGAGGTCTCCCCAGCACCAAGTTTATGAGCTGTGGTTCTCCAAGTTTTCTTGGAGAAATTGCATGCTGTGGGTTTTGCACTGCTTTGTTTTCATACGTGTTAATATAGATGACCAGGAAAAGCAATTTGTCTCTCTAAGTGGAGGTACTAGCGAGCACTCATGGTCCACAGCTGCTGCTGGGAGCTTTTCTCTTGGCCTTGCAGCTGGAAGAGCAGATGTCACCCTGTCATTGGGAGAGTGGAACACAGCTGGCCAGAGTGTGGGCTCTGCCCACTCTGAAACACAGCTGCCTCCAGTATCTCCTGGAGCAGATGCCCATCGGCTATCGCAGTTAGAAATGTTTTCTGCTGGGAGACAGAACTTGCCGATTTTATCATGGAGAGACACTCTGTAGTGTCATCTTCAATGACTGAAATACTAAATGCTTCCAAATCCTACTTCCACTATTTCTGTGCACATCACAGCCTCGCTTGCAGCCCAGGTCTCATAGTCTTACTGTGAAGTAGGCAGTTATTCTTCATTTCTGTGTACTCCAAGTCTGTGATGATGTGTGTTAGCCTCTTAAAGCAAAAATGTCTCAAAGTTCAGGAGAAAACTGGGGCTCAAAGAGCCCAACTGCTGCTTCAGGATGAAGATGGGCAGGGCAGTGAGAATGTGGCCAAGCTATGTCATCAGAAGTAAGGACAGCCCCCTGGAAACACAGCCTCCACTCTTGGGACATGCCAAGAGATCCCACCAGTTCCAGCAGCAGGGCTGGCAGCCTCAAACTGGGCTGGAAAACCTTTTTTTTGAGTTACTTAACCATTCTTCATGTTTCTGTAAAGCAGTCGTTGCTTCCCTTTGCCATACAAATGTTCCTGCATGTGTTTGTGATGGTAGAGTCAGTAGTTTTTGGAGAAAGATGGAAGTGTGATCTCAGAAGCTGGGCTCAGTTACCTGGGTAGTTTTCTTGGCTTCCATGAATGTGTCCAGAAGCTGGTGAGCTTGGGAAAGATTTTTTTTGTGTGCTTGGGTAAGGCAGTTTTTAAATGTCAAAGTTGAAAGTACTTTTCCTTAGCAAAAAAAAATCAGCAGCAAGCCGTTCAGAACTGGCTGAGCAGGCAACCATCTGAGCAGCTGGGCTGACTGCATGGCATTCTGCAGGAGATTTTCAGGGCTTTGAAGGCAGACCCATCTCCATGTCGTATCTCCTTTGAGATACAACAGCCTTTGAGCTGTTTGTGTCAGAACTGTTTGCTTACTTAATTTTAAAACGGTCACATCCACATAGACAGAGGGATTGCCACATCATGATACTCTGGAAGTGTCCTTTGGCACTTGATTTACAGCAGCTAAATAGCAAGGGGGTCAGTGGCCAGCTGGCCACCAAAGCAGGAAACCGGATGACAACGAGAATAAATAGTGTTTCATGGAGCTGGAGTATCTGACAGTGCTAGAAGCTGGAAGGACAGATCAGCATCCAGGATATTTGCTGTGGGACAGGTTCTCAGATGGCTGCTGAGCTGTGTGCCAGCAGGGGTGGCAATGGGAGCAAACAGCACATGCGTTCATATCCCTCCCCACACACATCCACGGGCCCTGCAGAAGCGTTGCATTGCACAGGCAGATGAGGATTTCTGTTGAGGATGGGAGGAGTGACTGATGGAGTTTTACAGAAGGGGCGTTTCTGCAGGTTTCCAAAGAATGAGAAACAGCCATCCTTGGACAAATCTCTGGGAGAAGCAGCGTTTGGGAAATCCCCAGGGCTGGTAACTGAAGTGATGGATGTGATCGGTGAGATGATAGAAGCGGTGAATGAAAAATACCGTCTGGGCTGTCAGCCTGCACACGCTGTGGAGGTGCTCAGCATTAGCAGCGTTGTCGTTCTGTGTGACAGGAGGATGGTGGGCAGTTTACAGACAGAAAGACTTGAGCATGGGTGGAGAGAGGTGGCAAGGAGGGGCTGTGACATGTTCCATGTCTATGAGATTCAGCAAGGAAGGTCACTTCCAGCCTATTTTTACGACATTAGACGAGGATTTGAACGCTCCTCCAGGAAAAGTGCCACCCCCACTGCCTTGCTGCAGTTTGTCCAAGTTGACCTTAGTGGTTTCCTGCCAAAAATGCCCGTGAACAATAATGACTTGTTAATGATTTATCCCTGCGTTTCTCAAGTGCTGCACTGATTCCTAATATAACAGAAATCATCAAAGCAGTGCTGTGCAGGCTTTAAGGTTTTGGCTACAGTGGCTTTTTGTCCTTACACAATGGCAGTAATGCAGGTTGTATGAGGAAATGGAGAGCTTGGTGGATGGGGCGGTGTAAATGCATGTTATTCAATGTATTGTAGGAGTCTTGGTGGGAAAATCAACAGCACTGTACTGCTGGAGAACTCAGCTGAACTGTAATGAAGAACTGTCCCTTCTAGAGCCTGCACGGCGATGAACGGACGCATCAGCTGTTTGAAGAGTTTGCCTTCTGCAAAGAGATCTGCAAATTCACACTGTTGGGGCTGGGTATGGCTCTGGTAATGGGAGCTGTGAGAGCAAGCTGTGTTTCCCTGGGAGATGGACACCTGTCATTTTCACAGGGCAGAAGTATGCAGGCTTACGGCACGGAATACAACATTAAAAAACCTGTTCTCTGTGCTTGGAGCATGGCTGTGTAATAAATCCTTGATCAAACATCCTGCCTTGGTGCGGGAGAACACAGGAAGATGAAAAGCAGCCGATACGTACAGAGGCAGAATTTGTGATTGCAACAACTCCAATCCACCTCCACCCTTCAAAGCCAGGGGAAAAAGCAAGCAAGCCCAGGAACTGGAGTTTGCATGAGTCAGTTCAAGTGTAGATGGCTGATTGTACACAATGTAGTGTTGTTTTATCACCAAGAAGCCATATCAGAAGCTCCGGGCAGGTCTAGATACTCTTTTGCAGTGATCATTCTCTGACAGAGACCAGAGAATCCTTTTTTATTAGCAAACAAACAAACAAACAACAAAACAACCCAAGCAGAAAGTACAGAATTGGCTGGCATCAGCCTGACAGCCCCTTCCTCCAGATCCCCGGATCTGCAGTAACTGGAGATGAGAGAGGGCCTTCCGTCCAGTAAGCAGGAGGATTGTTCTGCTTTCAGAACATTCTTTATTCCTAACTCCTGTGGCTCCAGGTGTCCTTGCTGTCCCCACACTCAACTCCCTTTCTTTGCCCTCTTCCATACTTCTGGAGGAGATGTATGTGGATGAGAGTTGGATCCTCCAGCTGAGGCGATGTCACAACTAACCTACTTTCACTCCCTAAAAAAACCCTCTGTGAACGGCTCCTTTCCCATTCTGATGAACAAAAAAATGGCTTTTAAAGCTGTCAATCTGTACCATTTTAAAGTAAGGGTTGGTGAAATTGTTGTGAAGATAGCAGTAGTAACCTTCTACTTGATCACATTTTGTCAAGCAAGGTGGCTATTTTGCTTTCTGCCCCATTTGTCCTTGATGTCATGTCTTCACAGCTCTACTCTGTAGATGTCATGTATTCACAGCTGTGGTCTACTCTGAACACTGCAGCAGTGGTGGCTGAAAACAGAAATTTCTTCACCTTTTTGGCCTCAGTCTCTCGAGCACTGGGCCAAGAGCTGTGTCATCCTCGTCCCTAAGAAGCTCTGTGTGGAGACATGCCCTTTGGTGATCAGTGTTGGATTCTTCAGAGGCTCCCTGCGAGCTGAAACTAAGGGGAAAAGTTATGCTTACCTACTTCAAGCTCCTTTCAACATGCCAGCCATGCTTATAGAATGTGAAACTGTTGGTTGCTGGAATCTTCAGGATGAAAGCTTGGCTACATGCAGAAAGGCTGCTGATAGTCAAGGGTGTGTTTTGGAGCTAACAGAGATTGCCTTCGGGAGTCTCCTGTGAGAGTATCCTCAGTCAAAAATAGCCATTGACAGAGCTGAAATCCATCATGGAGTTCGTTTGCAGAGGATATTGTGGAAGAAAATATAAATGGGCAAAAGGGGAAGGAAACGCTTCTGTGAAATCATCAGGCTGTTCATCACTGTGCTCTGCATACATCCTCCAGAGCAGTAGCTCCCCAAGCTCCCAACCACTGGATGCTGGGAAGACATGAGGTGGAAGCTCACTTTCTGATTGATATCCATTAGTTGGTGAGAGACAGGTTTTGAGTTACATCCATTTGGGGTTTGACCCTGTGTGCATGTGCTGACATTTTTATTCCCACTCAGCATCTGAAGTGGAATCAATTTTGAAGCCTCTCAAACTTTTCTGTTTAAACTGGTGCAGACAAGTTGTGTGGCCTTAAAAAGAGCACATGCATGGATGTTGGAAGTGAAAGTCTGCAGCTGTGCCAGGGCTGGGACACAAACACCCCATCTTTCTCACCTCCTGTAGCAGCAGATGAGCTCAGCATCCCCAAGAGCCCAAAGCTGCATTCTCTGCATTCCTGTAGCTCCTTATATGTCAGTGATGTCATCGATAGCAGCCAGGGAAATGTGGATCCCAGAGGGCCCAAACTCATGTCTTAGCAAGTAAGCGTAGGAGGAACCAATTTTTGCAGCGTACTGTACTGTACTAGCAAGTCTTATTGAATCAAAGCACTGCAAATGTGTTTGCATCTGTTTTGTCTCTTGGCAATACTACAGCATCCAGGAGGAGTTGCACTTCTGTCCATCACTGGCTATTCTCTCACTGCAATGAAAACAACTGCATCCGAGCAACAAGACAATGGGAAGTCAAGTTTGACATATGATCAAAAAGCAGGGCATGTATTCCTTTAGCTTGCCAGATTTGAACCCCAGGCTGCACTGAAGCAGAAGCTTTTAAACAATGCTCTGTGCACCACAGATACCTTGAAGCCGTGGTAGCTCAGTCTGCAGGTGGCCTCCTGAACATTAAATAACATTTTCCAGTTTAAACTTTGCTGACTGGGGGAACCGGACTGGTGGTCCAGGAGGGTGTTTGTATCTCACATCAAATTGTATTTTTTTTCCTGGTTGTTTTAGGAAGTTGTCTTTGACAGGAGCTTCCGGGAGCCATGCATGACCCAGATTAGCTTTCTGCCCCCACCGGAGGCAACGCCAAACCTCCTCTGGGTTTGGAGGTTTAGGACTGGCAGTGGGACGGAGCGGTCATTGGAGCTGTGGTATTTCCTGCCTCGGAAGCAGTTCGCTGTGTAGCCTCAGTGTTACTTGAATGTGGCTCTGTGTTACTTGTCTGTAATTAGAGCAGCTTGCCAGCTCTTGATTTCATCCCTTCATTTCTACAGTGTTTCCAGACCTTGTGCAGTTTGCCCCAGAGAGCTGGGGCTTGTTTTCTAAACCAAATTTAGCCAGGCCTTATACCTACACCTGCATATTTCCAACTACAAATAACAATGGAAGCGATTTTATCTAATCTCCCACCACCTGGTTTGTTCTTGTCCACACTCTTAGGCATGAGGGTGTTGAAAACACTTTTGGCAGCAGTAGCTTTAAGCTGTGTAACCACCAGCGTCAGCACAACCACCCAGGCTACGCAGACGGCGTGTGGGGAGGAAGGTCCAGGCAGCAGCAGCAGCATGCAGGCAGGGCAAAAGGGAAAGCAGCCCTGCCTGTGTGGAGGCTGAAGGAAGGAGAGCAAAGCAGTGCAGGCGCAGCCCTCAGCGATGTCCTGCAGGGAAGAGCCTGCCCGAACAAACAGTGCCTAGGGGCTGTTAGGTGCTTCTGTGTCTCCACATGACTCGGTGGCCGGTCCCCAGGACACCTTGCAGAGCAGAGCCGTGACTTTCTAGCTTGAGGAGCGAGTGCTGAAGGCCCCTCCTCTACGCCGGCATTTCAGCGTTGAGCTTTGGAAGGACTCCAGGCAAGCAGTGAAGGGCTCTTTGATAATATCTGACGGGCGGGTAAGAATTTTGGGCAGCGGCCAAGATACACATTGCCTGTAATCGTTAACTCAGTCTGTAAACAGTTCAAACGGCACTGAAGAGGCCGTCAGTTATTACATTAGAAGCAGCCTTTCATCTCCCCGCTCAGAAGCCAGCCGTACAGCGCTGGCCCCTGCTGCGCTGACTGTAGCTGCAGGTCTGTAGGCAGGGCAGGCAGTGCTTGGTCATACAATGCGCGCCGCTCTGAATGGCTGACCTTCAAACCTTCGGTGCTGCAGCAATAACTAAATCATTAGTTTCCTTTTGTTCTGCACCTGGCTGAGGCCAGGGATATTCAGGGGGGAGGGGATGGGATTCGGGAGTTGGACGACGTTCCCGCTCTGGTGCACACAGCACAGGAACCCAGCAGGGCTGCCTCCTGACCCCGTGCCCACCGCATGCCTGCGGCTCTTCCCCGGTGAGCACAGACCTGGCATTTAGCAGCCAGGTAAGGCTGCCCCACTGCTGGCTTCTCCAGAAGGAGCCCCACCAATGGTTCTGGCCTTCGATGTCCAAGTAGCAGTCAATGCAGCAATGCTGCTGAGCTTCATCTTCAGAAGAGCGTTGGAGGATTCCCCAGCCCATGTCAACCTGGGCAGAGCCCCAGGGCTCTTTCCAAGAGCTTCTCAGCCCTCCTGGAGATGCGTGATGCTTCAGTACAAGTAATGGCATCATCTCCCCCAGGGAGAGTTTCCTTATCCGTCTTTGCTCTTCTCAATCTATTATCTCCTATCTGTAAGAGCAAGAATGCTTTCTGGCATTCACTTTCAAGGCTTTAATTTTGAAATCCACTTTAGGAACTTGCTAGTTGAGGAAGCAATATTCTTGTCTGTGTGGTAGAGTGGCCTGGGTTTGGGTGAGTGTTTGCATCTGGCCCATCACTGCAGAGTTGCCTTTGGCATCAGAGCTTTCTCCTTGATCTGTCCAGGCTCGATGTATCTGCACCATCCCTAAGCTGACTCTAAGTGACCAGACAGCTTTGTATGGTAATGGCACAGATCTGTGCTTCGTGTGGCAGGAATGATGTCTGTACAATCCATACTGCTTGGGTTTTGCCTCTTGTTGAGGGGCAAGATGTCTGGCTCAGGGGCAACACTTGAGTGAGTTTTTGTGGAACAGTTTTAAGCTGCGGGCTGTAAGAAGGGTCAGCGTGGCGCAAGAGGCTGTTGTGTAAGAGAGCATCGGAGAACTGGGATTGGTGGTGGCATTTTCCCCTCTAGGGTATATGGAACAGGCTGTAAACACGGGTTGGATGCACTTCACTTGGCCTTGACTCTCAGACTGCCTGTGCGTGCTCGGAGGCAGCAGGAGCATGAGCTGTTCTCCCGTGACTTGGGCCAGCTTGCCTTTACTTTCATTTAGCAGTGTGAGTCAGGGCTGACCAGAGAACCTCCCTTTGCCTTTGATATTCCAAAAGGGGGTATGTGGACCAGAGAGAGAGTCAACCAGACATCATGATGAAATGTTTCCCTAGCTTTCCTTGATGACCCGTATCATCATTGCAGAGACCACGCAAGAACAAGTGACACTTGCTTTCTCTGTATCAGACCTCTCTGTCTTCACTTCAGCAGTGCTGCCAAAGGACAGTGAAGTGTGTAGAAAGAGTTTTCTCCAACACCATGGCCATGCTTGTGCAACTAGGCAGAAAAGATCCAGACTTAGTGACTCACCTACAACATCTAACTCTGCAAATGGGGTAATCAAATAAACATCCCTGTTGGGGTTCTGCACTTCTCTTTGTT